ACGCGTTAATGTGTATGTGGTGTGTGTGTGTGTGATCGTATGTGTGTGTCGCTGCCTGTATGTATGTAAGCGTATGTATCACGGACGTACGCACACGCATATACATACATACGTACGGACGCACGTATACGCAGACACATACAGCAGCACACCCTCACTTCTCTCTACGCTCCACCCCTCCTCACCCCTCCTCCCCTCCCCTTCCCTTTCCCTTGCGCCTCTTTCCTTCCATCGGACCCTCGTTAGGGATTCCTGTACCTCAAACTGTCCGGCAAGTACGACAACGAGTACGCGCACCCCATTGACCTGGTGCCCATCGTGGATCTCAACCTTGGAAAGGTAGCAGCCCCGGGGGGGAGATGGGGGGGCAGCGTTGTCACCTGGCGGTGTGTTTATCTCCCTGAATACCTGTTAAAAATGTTTCGTTTGTGTGTGTATGTGTGTGTGTGTGTGTTGGTCGGCATGTTGAACCATGTCAGATACTATTGTCGGTTTAAACAGTTGCAGCGGAGTTCGGGTTTAGGTGGTTAGGTGGTTGGCGTTGGGGAGGAGTTGGGAGGGCCGGGTCAGTGTCTGAGGACACTTGATGGCCCTCCGTCCCTCTTCTGGCCCCCTTTCCCCCTTTCCCCCTTTCCCCCTTTCCCCCTTTCCCCCTTTCCCCCTTTCCCCCTCCCCTTCCCCTTCTCCCCCCTTTTTATTGCTTTCTTACTTCTGGAGTATCAGTCTATCCATCAGCTTCTCTCGTTCACGTGGTCCGTCGTCCCCCCTCGGCCCCCCTCCCCCCACATCAGCAGTCCACACCCCGGCTCACATTCACAACCCCGCCGCAACCCCACTCAACCCGACGAGCCACATCACGGCTCCTCCTGCGGACAACGCGGAGGAGAAATATAAAAACCCAATCCTAACGTGTGCTGTGCAGGTGGTTCACATCGATATGTACGACAAACCGTCAACTGTCAACCTCCAGTCCGTCAACTACCACCCGTCCCTAATGGACACGGCGGCTCAGCCCTGGCGGCGCGATATCAAACCGCTCCACGTGCTGCAGCCGCAAGTGAGCTAAGGGGGGCCTGGGGGGGCTGGGGGGAAATAGGGGGGTTGGTAGGGACAGCGTGTGGTGCATGGCTGCCTTGATCCCTTAGATGGGCGAACTTGGCGCATCATTAATGGTGAAGGTGGTCGGGGCCTTGTGAGCCGCTGTGCTCCGCAATGCGCGGCGCACCTGGCAGAGCGAGCCTCGGACCTCGGAGAACATGAAGGAATGAAAACGAACGGCCGCACATGTGAGTATTGATCTCGTACAATAAGTGTTTCAGGTTTTTAAAACTCCTCAGGAAGTCTCACATGTGCACATGTACAAAATCCGTGTTTTCCTCTAATACCTTATCATGAAGATTGGAGGAGAGGTTTGGGTCGGTTGATGCCAAAAGCATGAATGGCAACCTTCTGGTGATATAAGCTGTGTAAGCTCGCGTATGTGTTTTAATTTGCTTTGTTTTGTTGTTATGTTTCTCAGGGCCCCAGCTTCTCTCTCAACGGCGCGCTGCTGTCATGGCAGAAGTGGCGCATGCGCATCGGCTTCAATGGCAGGGAGGGACTCGTACTGCACGGCGTGTCGTACCAGGACGGCGGACGGGTTCGACCGGTGCTGCACCGCGCGTCGCTAGTGGAGATGGCCGTACCGTACGGCGATCCCAAGTGGGTGCGAGAAGCTAGTGTCGTGCGCGTGTCTAAAAACACAGCAGACCTCAATACCCCCCCCTCCCCCCCCACATATAAGGAGAGCCAAAGGAGCTCTTAGGTTCCCTCCGGGATGTACGCGCCAGGTGCCGCCTCCGGTGTCTAGATTGGAATACGGTGGTGGTCTTTGCCTAATCCATGCTTATCAGGAACGGTGGTGAGGTGTCATGACACCTGGTTGATTGCGACAGATCGTACGACGGTGATCGTACAAGAATGTATGTATGCTTGATTGTCTGTCGTACGGCAGGTTGTCGTACGCACCTGGCGGAGTCCCCCGGGCCGGGGGCTTTTCCCCCAATCTCTCTGATTGCTCTCTCTTCACGGTCGTGGCCCCTTCGGTCCTTACCCCCCCGCCCCCCCCCCCGGTTGCCCCCCCGCCCCGCCCCGCACACACACACACCATATGCGATGAAATACATCCTCGTCAGTAATCCGTACATTCGCAAGTGCGCTTTTGATGTGGGAGACTACGGGTTCGGACTGTGCGCCAACAGGTGTGTTTGTACGGGTCGTACAAGAATAGGTAGGCTACGTGCAGGAACAACGTGCACGATTGTGTTAGCTTAAACTCAGTTAAGATTTAGTGTATGTTTAGTGTATGTTTCTATTTGCCTTAGAGGGGAGCGGAATGCCGCTTCACCCCCCTGCCGTTGCTGAATCAAGTCGCCGCTTGTTGCTTCTTCTGCCCCACGCCCCTCTTTTCCACCTTCCCCCCTTCCCCCCTCCCGCCCAACCGCAGTTTGGAGCTGGGCTGCGACTGCCTGGGCCACATCCAGTATCTCGATGTGGTGGTCAACAATGCCAGGTAAGTCGGCAGCCCTGGGTAGTGACGTGTGGATGGCGTCCAGGGGCGGGTGGGGTTCCCCCCGGGGGATAGTGGCGGGGGGAGGCCCCGGGTGGGGGGTGAGGAGGAGGGGAGGGCGAACCTCCTCAACCTCGCCCACCACTACCCTGACACCTCTCTACCCCAAGCCCCTTGGGGAGCCCGAAGGGGACAACCCCCCATCCAAAGCACAACAGGGCATTGGAGCGATGCAGCACATCACCACATCTCCGCGATATGAAACTTGATGTGTGGCATTGTCCATGAGCTCTCCTTAACAGCGACGATGGCGACTAGACTAGACTAGACTAGACTAGACTAGACTAGACTAGACTAGGACACCAGCCCTATAAGTTCCGCAGCCTAGCTCCACCTTGGACTTCTGTTCACTCTCCCCCACTGCCCCCGTGGTTCGTCTTTGCCCCCCCCCGTTGCCCTCCCCGCTCCCTCCAATACACACACACATCTGCAAAGGGGCGAGGCGGTGGTGATTCGCAAGGCGGTTTGCATCCACGAGGAGGATGTCGGCATTTTGTGGAAGGTGAGTTGGGTGGTTGGATGAGGGAGGCGGGGGGGAGGGGGAGGTCGTGTGGTGCGTGTGTGTGTGTGTGTGGTGGGTGGGGGAGAAGAGGGGTTAGGGTGCGGGGGATGGGTAGGTGCATCCGTGGGCTCGGGATGAAACCCGTGTGTGTGTGTGTGTGTGTCTGTGTGTGTTTCTTGTACGAGTATCGTCTCTAGGAGGGACAGCACCCGTCATACACATGTTCCTGGACCGAGATTCGCACCACGCTGGATTGGTGAGGCGATTGCTGAACCCTCTGTCTCTGCTACGGATGCTCGGGTGATTGGATGAGGAGGGGTCCCTGAAGGCAGGATCAACCGCCTTGGACTTCCAGTTTGTATGGCGTAGTACAGTGTGGTGGTAGTGGTGGATGGTGCTGTATGGTGCGATGAATTGTAGAAATGACAATGTGTTCAAGTGGCCCAGGAGCCTCCTACTCTGCAACAACACATACACAATGAATATGTAAGTATATATGTGCGTATGTGTGTACATGTGTACGATTAGCCTGGATTGCTGTCCATGGGCTCTGACTGTCAATCGGCACTCGGGTGGTGCACACACGGGTGTGCATGCATGCATGCATGCATGCATGCATGTATGTATGTATGTATGTATGTATGCATGTATGTATGTATGCATGTATGTATGTATGCATGTATGCATGTATGTATGTATGTATGTATGTATGTATGTATGTATGTATGTATGTATGTATGTATGACGTTGATTACACTGTGGGCTGAAAAGCCGGGGGCCCAGGGCCGAAGCACAGCGCGGGGGGCGGGTGCATACGGCTGGTTAGTCTCATGCACTCCGCCCCCGGGTCAGGCCGCACGGGAAACGACGGCCGGCACGCAACAGCGCTTGTTTGGCGCTCCAACTAGACGGGATCTATGCCCGTTGGTCTCCTAACATAAACGAAGTCGCAACTGGGGG